GAAAAGCTAGCAGGTGTATTTTGAAATTTAGGCAAATACAAAAATAACTGATTCTTCTGTCTGAAACACCTGCAAAACTTGACTCTGGAAATTGTAGAAACTCTGGAACCAGACCTTAACAAGTGTGGGTACTTGTTATTTCACCCCAGGTGTGAACGTGTGTATAAGTTCATGTGTGTTTTGGAGGGATATCTACATTTTAATACTTTATTTATTTTCTCAGAGTGATTGTTTTTCCTTGAACTTTTTGAGAGTGATAATTAGGACTCATGATTCAAGAAGCAAAACATCCTTTTTCAACAGCTGAACATCATACTGGGTGTTTCAAAGCACTGTGGCTTCAAGAGCACAGCATCTCTGCCTTGCTGGCTGCTGCTCTGCTATTAGGGTACAGCAACAACTCCAAAATAAATAGGATCAAAATCCAGTTAGAGAAACTTGAAATATTCCCTGCTTTTAGAGATGAATACAGCTTATCAGAGAAAATTATTCCAAGGTCTGAAGCTTCAAGCTGTTGGGCTTCTTTTGGCTGACAGCTCAGTTTTGGAGGAGTGCCAAGCCTAATGCAGGAATACAAGTGGGATGGTGGTGTTAAGAATGAAACTGACTGCACTAAGGAACAAAAGGTGTAAACTGCCCAGAGCTTTGAACATACCCTAGAGCCTTGTAGCTGGAGATGACAGCTCCCAGAGCCAAACCTGGGAAACATAGCACAAATCAAGACACAGTTCTCCCATGGTTTCGTACAGACCAGGGTGCCTGTGCACCACCTCAGTCGTCTTCTCAGGGCAATGCTGTCCACCAGTTTGTCGTGGTATAACTTAGGGTGGCCTTGAGGCCACTCTGTCCTGGGAGCTCTAGGCACAGACCCTCTCCTCCCACACAGGTACATCTCTAATGGACCACAGTCAGGAAGGAGCAATGTCCATTCCTGGGACAATCCCAGAGGTGCTCCACTGGCTTCACGATTACCTGGATGAATGCAATCTGTGGAGCCCATAGCAGATAGGTTTTGCCCACCATGTCAGCATCTGATAATGAGATAATCAGTAGTAAATTATTTCCTACCCAGAATTATTCCAAAGAACATTTATTACTGAGAAGCATACATGTTTTCCCCTTGTTTTACACACTCTTAATCATTAACCTCAATTGTTCGTGCAACATACATGCTTCATCATGATAGGTAAAGCCCCCTTTGCTGATATGCTCACTTTACAGAATGGTCTAATTGCACATGAAAAGATTTCACTGCTGAACAGCTGCTTCAAAGTGTTTGAAATATGAAGGCTGTGAGGTTTTGTTTGGTGCTAGCAGAAGGTGCTAGACTGACAGCACTGCATGGTCCCTGTACGGCACAAGTGGAATAATATAGCTGTCATCCTCAGTATCGCATGCTGTCTTTGTATTGTGCTGGCTTTTATACGTCGATGTAAAAGCGCAAGGATGCTACAGATGTCCCAGAGCTGACCTCTGGAAGGAGACTGTGCACCATAAGGTCTCCAGTGCTGGTTATCAGTAGAGTCCTGCTGACATCGGTGGGAGCTGGGCTAAATGATAGGCCTGACTTCAGCTGGAAGGTGTGCTTGGGGATTGCATGTTTTTTACGTAAGCCTTTTACTGCGCCAGTAATTATTCCTGTTAATTATCTTTCTGGATTCTGATGCTACTGCAAAAAATCTGCTGCATGGTGCATTGCACCCAAAATCTCCTCATTCAGATTTGCCAGCTTGGGAGAATGACACAAACTTTAACACATTTGGCTAGCTCTGAAGGTTGAAGGTTTCAGCTAGCTGTGAGTTATGCTGAGGGAGCATGAGATCAAATCAGGGTGTTAATACTGCTATGTGTCAGTAAAGCTCTCTGCCTAGCCCATCCATAACGCTGGGGGGAGCGCCGTGCTGCTGCTGCTGCTTGGAGGGGGGATGTGTGTGTACCTGGTGGTGATGCCCACTGGAACAGCCTGCGGGCTGGGGAGCTGTCATGGGGGTGTCTCTGTGCACTCTGAAGTCAGGGGAATAGTCTCCTTCTAGAAGGAACAGTGAACTTCTGGAGATGGTCTTTGTTTCACGCAGCAGCACCACCACCTCCAAACTGTGCTGATAGGGAATATCCTGCTGCTGCTTGTGTTATACATGTATTTCCTGGGCTCCGCTCTGTGTCTTTTTGATGATCCCATATGCGTCAGATCAGTGCACAACTTACTGAATTGATTTAGCTTCTTAATTTTTTTGCTCTTCCTCACATTCTTTCTGTGATTGCTTGCTGTCAAAAACAATGCTTGCTCATTCTGCCAATTAACATGCGCTCTTAGGAATAAGCCCTTGTACAGAAGAGAAAATCTATGAAATAACTGATGTAAGTGCTTTGTAAGAAAGCCCCACAATAGCTGGGATTTACCTCCTGACCAAACCTCTGTAAAATTCATGTGCATGAAGTGTGTGTTCATGTGGCTGGTAGAGTGCTCCATAACCCACAGAGGTATCACGTCTGCTTAAGTACTTTGTTAGGTCCCTGACACTGTGTCCCTGGAGAAGAGACTTGGGAGGAAAGCTGCATCTCTTTTGTGGTGGTTGTTTTCAAGGGGAAAATTAAATTTTTCCCAAAGTGTCAGCAGGGCTTATAAAAGATGAGTAGTGATAAAAACTAATGTGTTCTGCCAAGGAGTTCTCAGTTGAATGCAATCTGAGATGAACACTATATAGAAAAACAATCCTAGGAAAATGTCTGCAGCACGTTAGCTGGGTATTGGAGAGGAGCATTTCAGATTTAAAAGTAGCGTCCTTAAAGTTGTTTGTTTTTTTTTCTCTTTTATTTTTGTCACCTAAGTTTTCCTAAAACACTGTAACTTACTTATTTTGGGTGTTGTAAATACAGGCTTCTTGTATGCATCTGCACTTTAACTTGACTTGAGATGAAGGTGATTTCAGGGTTGCTGGGTAGGAGGGAGGCACTCCTCACCCAACGATGAGTAGAGTGGGCGAGTAACAATGGTGGTGGGGGGGAGCCCAGCAATTGTGCACTTCCCAGCGTGTGCTCCCCAGGTGCCACATGGGCTAGGATGAGATCTGGGATCCCTTGAGTGGGGTGAGCTCTCCAGGGCCACGCAGGTGGGCAGGAGTTCATCTGAAGAGCCAACAGCTCTGGGGCCCTCAGAGTTTGTCACTGACGTGGTTAGCAATGCTTGTTCACTGAAAGCTTCTGTCCCACAACTTCTGTACCCTACGAGACCTCTGGAGGATGAAGTGCTGCACCCCCATCATCACCATTTCTTATGAGGGTCTCTTCCTATTAAGCCCAGGGATTCTGAAATCATTCCTGCTACTTTTTTTGACATACACTTGTCTAATGCTGTGCCTTGGAACACATATAACTCAGTGGGAGGGTTCCAGATGACTTTCAGTGGGAGTGATAAGGCCTGTTAATAACTGAAGCTCTGACTCTGTCTTGATTAGTTCTCTATACGCAGATCATAATATTAAAAAGCTGAGGGGGAAGATGAAAGATAATAATTTTGTGGCTGTTTTTCAGTTAGCTTCCATGCTGACAGGTTAGACAGCAATGAAAATACAAACTGCCTTCATTTGTCCCATCTGTTCTCATCCGGTCTGTCACTGTATCCCACGTGAGATACCACACGCTGCAAGTTCTTAGTTCTCAAGACAAAGGAATAAATGTTCTGGAGTGTTGCTCATCTGTTGTTACATGAGCCTACTGAAATATTGATCACATGCTTCACCACCTTCACAGCAAATAAAGGAGGAATTTTCAGTTGGAAGGTATTTCGTGTTGTTGGTATCTGGGAGGCAGATCTTCTGGTGGTGCTGGCTCTCGGCAACAACTTATTGCAGTAGCTTTTAGAAATGCAATTAGAAGGGAACCCATGTAATGGAAAGCAGCATTGTCTCTGAGGCAGAGAGAAGCATTAGGCTAGTCATTGGCCTGATGGAGAAACATCTGGGTTCCAAAGCTGCTTGTTGAGTTCAGTGCTGCTTACTTTAAGGAGGGGTAATCTGCACAAAGAATGGCTAAGAGCATGAAAGCAACTCTTCCAAAGCAATGTAAGGCTGCTGAAATCCCTTAGGTCAAGCAGGGGGAATTCCTATGCATGAAACCAATTGGTTCAGTGGGAATAAGCCTTGCTCCTATTCCCTTGCTTGGCCTTGCTCAGTTGTGGTTAAATGAGGAAAGGGGATGATAATCATCTGATAATCTTGCTGTGAACAGGTGGGAGCCCTGGCTTGTCCTCTTGCCAATGCCAGCTCCAGGGGTGGGTCCAGCATTTGGAGAGAGATGTAAAATGTTCCACAGTCTAAAAGAGGTGCAGTGAATGGCTGTTCAACTGCTGAATGTATCAGGAGAGGACCTGGGACAGTGAGTCTGTTTGCTCATCTCACCTATGTTCCTGACTCAGACTGCCCAGTTACTCACCATGAGAAAGAATAACTTTTCTCAGTAATTAATTAAATATATTAGGAAAGACTTCCCAGTGATAGGATGGAATTTCTGGTTTAGGCTAAAAAGTTAACTAGGTCAACTTACATCAGGGTCTTCAGTTTGATTTGGGAGACCCGTCATGGAGGAGGCTAATGCTCCATGCTGCTGTTCTCTATCCACCTGTGTCCCCCCAGCTGATCACAGCTATTCTGTGTTCTTTGGGTCCCTGAATGCCTGGATTTTGTATCGTGCCACAGCCAAGCCAAATTTAAAACTGTGTGTAGGGAAACCAGCAATCTTGTCCACAACAGTTAATAGGAGACTGCTAATGAAGCCACTGTGCTCAATTACTCTCATTAGATACATGTTATTATAGTTTTCCTGTTCATGTTAATATATATTTTTTTCACCAGACCTTATTCCCTATAATAGCAGCATAACCAGAGCTCCAAGCTGAATATGTTCTTTCAAAGTTACAGGTTGCTACTGCATACTGATATTTGTCATTTTGGTGTTTAGCTCTGTGACTGCACTTTAGGTTAATGCATTGATTAATCCAGACATTAGATAAAAGATAGAGTTTATTTAGGACTGAATATTCATTTTTAAAAGGAATATGTTATTTATTTTCCAAAGTCCATGACATATTGGCTTTGTTACAGGTTTACCCAAAACACCTGAAAAAGTACTGAACTTGAACTAACTACTAAAAGTAGTTAGCCAAGATGCTGTTTCCATAGTGCGACGTTATTATTTGTCACTTCGTAAATTTCTACAGCCACTTAACTCCATTTGAAGTATTTCAAGATCTATTGCTCATTTCTAACTTATCCATAAACCTCTTCCCATCACTCCCAATAAATTACTACTTGGGTTATAGCAAATAAGGTATTTTCATGTCTTCTGTAATGATTTCAGTTGTGCAATTGCCCTGTAGGATATGTTCCATTTTGTCTCTGTCATGTCTGTAACACAGTAACCTGCTATTGCATTAGAAAAAGGTGCATAAATTTTCTAGGAAATACCTAAAGCAGCCTAAGTAGCCATATTTTTTTTTCACATGGGAGAAATAAAGTTACCTGGACAAATGTATTAATTTTACATGAGCTCCTGTATGTTTTTCCCTATGAATAAGTGATGGTTTGGACTAGGGACACCCTCCAAAGTTTGTACTGGTTAACTGGTATCATTATACTGATTTCTGGGGTTATTAGATTCAGTCCTAGCTTTCACGTTTTACAAACTGCCGCGTCTGAGTCAGTGAACAATACCAACGTAGGCTATGCCAGTTTTACTTTACTCAGAGCGTAAGACAAAACGGAATCCATCACAATGGTCGGGAATAAAGCACACACAAACACCAGGGCTTTCTCCTTCAGCTTCGCCACCATGTACCGCGCCTTGGGCGCAGGAGACGTTAAAGCATCTACCATAGCATCGACAACTTCATTGCCATTAGTGCTTCCTTCGCTGAGAATGCTGTTGAAAAAGTTTGCCCGCTCTTGAACATACTCCTTATTGTAAACTGCCTTTTCTTCTTCACTGAGTTCATTCCAAATCTCTTCGGCACTGACTGGTGGCTGGATTTTTGTAGAGCGTGCATAATTTCCTGGCTGAATAATACAGACCTAAAAGTAAGATGTAAAACTTATCAAGATGCAGTCATTCTGAATTCAATTAAATACTATAGTCAGTAAAGCAGATCAAAAGCTTTCTGCAGACAGATTTCTTCCAGAAAATGCTGCTTTGTTGAAATTTTAACCTTGGAAACTTGACTGAAATCAAATATATTCCTGTGAAACATTTAAGATTGCAGAGGTGCTTTACTCTGACTTCCTCATTTCGCTCTGATGTTAATGTTCTTGTTTTGACTACTCAGCATACCTTTACAGAATGCAATAGTGCATCTTTGATTTTTATAGAATGTTTAATGGTATAAATGTTTTGACAATACTGAGACAAAGCATTTCAGTATGACTTTGATGTCTCCAAAGTGGAATACTTCGGATTTCTCACTCAGTGGCAAATCATGCAATTGATAATTTTTTGCCCCAGTTTGGGACCAAAGGAAATGTCAAAAAAATTAGAAGGTCCTGGGGAAAGAATTGCTGTTTTCCCCAAGTAGGTGTAATTAAAAGGAAAATAGGTGTTGTCAGCCAAGTACAGAGTGGATCAAAGGTCCTGGTTTAGATGTCACTGAAGTCATTAGCAAATTTCCATAGATTTCTATGCATGTAGATTTAAATTGAAAGCACACAAATCCTTTGCTGCTCTGCTTGTTTTCTATGGATGTGTTGTTGCTACTGTTCTACTAACTTCTGAGCCTTCTGGGGAATTTCAGAGTAGACTGAGCACTCAAAATATCCATACTTTGTTGGCAGCAGGCTTCCTGTAGGCAGCCCGCTTGCCTGGCCAGAGTTCAGTGCCACAGAGCCATAGCTCCATCTGTTCCTTGCCACCTCTGGGTCACTTTCTCCTGAACGGGCAAAGGGAACAGCAGAACAGGGGAGAGGGACTGGGTATTCTGCAGGCTCTCTGCAGGTTGGTTCTGAGGCAAATGCCAGCCAGGGCCTTGTATACAGTGAGAAACAGAAAAATAACTCTCACAGATATTACGGAAACGTTTGTCAGCCTGGCTCTCTGTATTGTGTGCTGGGGCTATTCCGGGGGTGGGGGAATAATGAAAATCCCAAAACGACCAGAGTAGCTAACCTGTTAAACTAAGCTCTGCCATGCATTTGAGATTATCCTCAGCTAATCAGTTCAAATCCTCATCATGCTGTGTGGTATTAGGATGTGTAAAATCACTTGCATTTTATAGCATTTTACGTTTATCCGAGAGGAGTAGTTAATAGATGCATAGCTGTAATTTCTTCCACCACAAAGCTTATGAACAATGCTGTAAATCTGTGTATGTAAAGAGTACACCGATGTAAATCCTTTAGGGAAGACTTTTGGTGTTTGAGTGTTTCAGCAGTGGAGTGACTCCAAGGAAAAAAGCCTTGTGAAGCTACTTAGTGATCTAAGCTTCAGGTTTGACTATCAGTGTTGCTTAGACAGGGCACTAAGAGCACTCTTAGAGCCTCTTAGGTTAAGAGAATAAAAACATATTCTGCACAATACTGCCTCTTGCAGTGTACGTGGTCCCACAAAAAAGAAGGCGCTTTTAAGCACAGATGTTGTGAGAGAAGAGAGAGAAAGAACCCCTCAGGTAGGTGACAAGCCTTCTTTGTCATGGCACAGTGCTCCATCTGGGCTCTTTGCTCCTGTGGCCACCCCAGATGAAGTTTCTGTTACCTGGTACTGTTAAGAGCTCTTCAAAGAGCATGGCGCTGCTCAGGCAGGCCTGACTCACAAAGTTTCTCCACTGTAGAGGATGTGGAGAGAGGGTGGAAGTTGCAGTGTTGGCACAAAGAGAAGATGTGTTATCCCACAGCTTCTCAGAACTGCAAACATCACCCAGGTCTGCTGTTCTCTGTGATTTCCAGCTGAGTGATTAGCCATAGAGAACCCACCTCCTTCCAAGAGGAAGCTGCACCCATGGATTCAGCTCTGATCTTTATCTTTGTAATTTGGATGCATGAAGCTTACTTAGCACAAGATTATGTATTATTTTCCATACACTTGTTCCCTTGGCCAAAATTTCCACTCTCACACTATTGTCTGCTGCATTGTGCAAGTCCTTTGCTTTTTTTCCTCACAAAAAGATGCGTTTCAGCTCTGTAGGAACTTTCAGGGGTGACACTTCTCTCTTTCTTACATGAAAATCAACGTTAGAAGTAGGAGGGAGTTTCTTGCTGATGTAGCTACTTGCTACATCACTTACCCGAACACCAAACTTCTTCATTTCCAGTCTCAGAGCATCACAGAATTTTTCAATAGCTGCCTTGGTCATAGAATAAATGCCATTTCCCAGAGCAAAATAGGCAATAATGCTGGACATGAAAACAATACGTCCTGGAAAGAGAATAGTGCAAATAACTTCACTCCCAGTCTTTAACATACCTGAGTCTTCTGGACCATGAATAACATGGTATTTAGCATGATGCTGTTGTATTACACAGAGGAGAGGAGCAGGTAATTTTCCCTGCAGTGGATATATGACTACTAATACCATTTTTTTCTGCACTAACGATGTCTCTGCACTGAGACCTGGCTTACAACTGTGCATATAAAGTCAAAATTGGACTGTACACTGATAAGCTTCACCAGAGAAATGTGACTCAACAAAATGTGTGCAGCCTTGCACTGCCTTGCTGTGATTTCCATGATCTGTGCTGCTTTTTTCCCCTGCCAACTGCAGGCATGCATTAAATAGCAGAGATTTCTGATCTGAGGCCCTGCGCTGTGGTTCACCTCCACTGTTTACTTGTAAACTTCTATCACATAGTCATACCATAGAGTAAAAAATGTGTGAATGTGGATATATAAATACCAGAGGTGAGAGAAGATGGCTTCATTGCTAACAATACAGAGAACATAGTTGCATTCCTGTTGCTGTCACAGATGCAGATAACGTCTGGGCCCCAATCTGACCAAATGGTTTAGGCTTGTGGGATATCAAAAGGGCATCATGTGAATGCAGTGAAATCTGTCATTCTGAATTAGGTTCCCTGCCTTCCTACACAGCGTCTGGAATAAATCTTACATACAATAACAGAACAACTACCAGCTGCCTGATCAAGATGCTACCTCAGCTGGCCTGGCCATCTGGAAAAGATATGGGGAAATGCTGCTCCTCTCAGAGTAGGATGCTTAATTCTAGGCTGGAGGACAATACCTTCCTTTACAAGTATTAATCATCTTCAAGTTTTCCTTGGAACAGGCACTGCTCTGAAAATGGCAGTCAGCCCCTCCCTTCAGAACACAGCTACTGGGTGGTGGGATGACCTCTGTCTCCTCTGTCCAGTAGCTGAGTGATTTGGGGCACGAACCCAGAATGTGGGACATGTCATTTAACTTCTCTCTCTGCCTAAGGAAACTGAAACCAGGCTTTCCCAGGAGAATGCTCTAACATCCATAATTCAAGCTTTTCATTTGGAGATGTCACTTGCTGCCTGCAAAAACATGAGCTATAAGCTGTCCTGGCTGTTCCTGCAAGGAAAGAGATAGGAAGCCTAAAACTCTTCTACATAGATGGGACTTGAAAATGCAGTTAATAACGGCAGCATTCACAGCCAGGAGTCAGATGCAAAGCGCTATTTTGAGATAAGGTACTATGTATGTGTACCAGATCCAGACCCACATATTCTAAAAGTTTGTGCATGTGCTTAATATCATGCACACAGTTAGTCTCTTTCACTTCAAAGTAACCCCTTGCAATTCACGAAGTCAGACAAATACCTCTGGTGAATCAGTATCACAGAAAAAAAGTGATGTCTCCTCATGTAGTGGCCACGTAGCACACTCACTGGGTATATGCAATAGCACATGCTTTTACAAAAACATCCAGCTTGCCATATTTAAAGGTTTCTTTTTTCTTGCATCAGAATATCATCAACCAAAGCCAACCAAGCCAGCCGAAGCCAACCGAGCAGAAAGCAGCAGAGTAGCCAAAAAGAGGATGCTTTTATCTTACCAACATTTTGTGGAATAGTGGCATCTGGGGTTCCTGGATGACACCTAGCCCTTACTGTGCTTGATGCTGTACACACAGAGAATAAATCCTCACCTTAAAGAGCTTACAACTTAAATAGACAAGCTAAGCAAAAGGGGGAGAAAGGAAAAGGGTATCTTTCTTTCCCAAACAGAGATGGGGACAAGTAGGGAACAAACTGCAAAGCAACTGAGACATGCTGCCATGCTATAGAGGGCTGCTTGAACCATTCCTTCTCAGAAGAAAGGATAAAGCCCATGCATATGGAGGTCCATGCAGATGCGTTTATCCCGTTGGATACACATGCATCTCTGTACAGCACTTTTTCACATACTTGAAACGTCCTGCCCAAGGTCATAGAGAGGATCTTGTTAGGCCTGGAACTGGAAGGTGGATGTCTCTAGTTCACCTCTGAAGGGTCATCTTTCCTCCTAATCCTTCCATCCTAATTGCCAAACAGTAAAATAGCAAAGCCTAAATAATGAAGTTAAGCAGAACTTTATTGGATCTTTGTGTTTTCTGATTGTCAGTGCTTACAAAGTCTTTCCTGGGCTTAATGATCTACCATTAGCATTTTTTCTCTCTGTTTTGAGTCAAACACTGAGCGAATTCATTATTTGTAAATACTTTTTTCTATTTATTGCAACAACAGAATCTTTAAGGGTGTTTTTTTCCCCTAGACATTACCCTCTTTCAGGATCAAGTTGCTCTTTCAGGCCACACAGAAGGAGGCTGTCATTTCAGTTCAATGAAAGACAATTAAGGCTTCTTTTATAGATGCTACATTACCCTGATTATAGTAAGCTAATTATTCTACAACTCTAAATAACAGTGGATTAGCATTACCCTTGTATTTCCTTAGAAGGGGTAGAAATGCCAGGGTTGTCCTGATGCTCCCAAGGAGATTCACATCGGCAAATTTTTCATATTTCTCCATAGACAGCCACCCTGTCTCGCCAAATGTTGATATTCCTGCATTGTTGACAAGGCCCCAGAAACCTATGGAAGAAAAATGTCTTAACAAGCATCTTTCACTGAAAAACAACCACCATTAGGTGACAAAACAACACTAGTGATTTGAAACAGCTTTTTAGTTGTGTTATCTTTCTGTCTTTTCTACTTACAAATACAGGTGTGTTTTGTCTAATGATGGAATGTAATCATGGTCATTATCTGCACTATATAAGTCTCAGTACTATTTAATAATCACTCACTTTATAGTCGTCTTAAGTTTTTTATGAATAACATGATCTGGGAGACTACATCTTACTGCCAATGTGGGATGCCATGATATTTTAATTACTTTAATCCCACTGTGTGCTATGAGCAGCTTTCTGAAAATTATATTGAGCAGTCTAAAGACTAAGGGGTAATATTTTCAAAGTGCCTGACTAATTTAGGAGCCTACGTCTTGGCTCCTTTTCCAGGATTTGAGCTTTGATTCCTTCTGAAATCAGCCATAATCAGGTAAAGGGGGGCAGCATTGGTAAGGTAATGACGCGTCAGTAACTACGGTTTGGAGGTTTTTTTGTACTCTTGGACAACTCTATTCCCCACATAACAACAGGTTTTGGTGCTAAGAAGCCTAGGCCCTTGAAATGCAGTGAGATTCCTGTGTTTACAAACAGTAATTTATCAGCAGCAAACCTTGTTCTGACACAACTCTCTGCCAGAAAGTGCAAGGCCTTTAGCCCAAAGCCAGAGAACGTTTTGTGTGAGCCCTGTGCAGTGCTAAGAACATCAGCTGTTGGAAATGCTTTTTCGTTGACGGGGAGAGTGCTCGCAGCTTGGAGCTGACGTGCTGACTTGTTCCTGCCTTCACAGCACACGCTGTAGATGTACGGTAAAGCACTGAGTGACACGGTGCTTTTGAAAAGGTTTCTGTTTCTGTCCGTTAATCCTGACTGAGAATATTTCTAGGCTGACCAGCAGGGTAACTAAGAAGTAGGGTACATAGGGTAGCCTGATTTGCACTGAAATAGCTAAGTTTCCAGCCTAGCTTCGCCAGCCTTGACAATTTGGCTTAAGCTTCTTTTTTTTTTTTTTCCCCCAAGAATTCTTGTATGTGTCTGAGGCAAATGATTGTTTTGTCGCGCCTTCTACAGGATCTCCAAGCCTAGGTTTTTGGTGGGGCAGAGTGGGTAGCAGTGCCTCTCTCCCTTCCTCTGGACACAGGCTATAGGGCACAGGTGTGATGCTGACCCAGCTGCAGCCTCCTGTACCCGTGGTGGCAAAGGTATTCTCGGGAGACCTCCTGCCAAGAGCTCTGAATGCTGGATTTGATTCACAACAATAGTTATAGCTGAAACAGGCATTTTAAAAGATTTTTTAAATTAGTTTCTAAAGCAGACCTCTGTAAGCTTTCATAACATGTATACACTACTTGTATTCTGACCAGTATTCCGATACTACATCATGAAATTGGTGTTTAAACAGAGAGACACAGTTCTTTCAATGATTTTGCAGAGCAAAACACTCAAAATCAGGAATTTACCACAGAGAACTTAGTCTGCCACAGAGAATAAATCATTATTTGGCTCTCTGACACGCAGCGATCCTTGACACTAGACCTTTTTTATAACTTTAGCTGCTTGCTCCTCATACCCTTGAGTTCGTTACAACTTCAGAAATATGGCCATTAAACTTAAGACAACTTATTTTCTTCTTCTTTCTCTAAGCTATGAAATGCAGAATTTAGCTGGCAGGGCTTAAGCTTTATCTCCAGCTCTTTGCCAGCTTTCCCTCATGCACTTCAAAGACTCTAGGTGGTTAGTGGTGAGGCCAGCCTGTGTGTATGTATAAACAGGGAGAGTTCACAGAATAATAGCTCCTTCTTTCTGTGCAGTGGCCAAATCAAAAGTCAAGAGGAGAAAAACTGGCTTCAGTTAAACTGAAACAGGCTTTTCTGAAGGGAAGATTAAGTAAAGCTTAAAAAGAGATTTTGCCCAGGGTCAGCTCAAAACATTTTGTTTGCCCTCAAGTGAAACATACTGTTTCTTAGAACATTTTGGCATTTGTGAATGGGAAACGTGCTGATATTTTCCATAAATGTTCCTGCCACTTTGGTCAGTTGAATCACTTAGGAAAATTCTACCCAAATAATGAACAGTTCATTATCCCCTTATGCCACTTTTTCAGAAAATTTCCAACCTCCTGAGAAACAACCTGCCCAACTATGTACCCAGGGTGCTTGAAGCTGCTTTGGTCTTCCTTTCTTGAAACGTTTGTGGTAAAAATTTAAGCTACGTTTGTGCATACAAAATATACCATATATTTGCTTAGACAAATGCAGCTCAGGTAAGCTGACAAATATAGTCCTTAGATGAAAATCTAGAAGCATAAGGAAGAATTGAGCAGCAGAAGGAGAAAGACATCACATTTCCTCAGAGTGTGCATGCACAGACACATTAGGAGAAAGCAGCTGATGTCTGATCTTCTTTTTTTTTTTTTTTCCCCCAAGAATTCTTGTATGTGTCTGAGGCAAATGATTGTTTTGTCGCGCCTTCTACAGGATCTCCAAGCCTAGGTTTTTGGTGGGGCAGAGTGGGTAGCAGTGCCTCTCTCCCTTCCTCTGGACACAGGCTATAGGGCACAGGTGTGATGCTGACCCAGCTGCAGCCTCCTGTACCCGTGGTGGCAAAGGTATTCTCGGGAGACCTCCTGCCAAGAGCTCTGAATGCTGGATTTGATTCACAACAATAGTTATAGCTGAAACAGGCATTTTAAAAGATTTTTTAAATTAGTTTCTAAAGCAGACCTCTGTAAGCTTTCATAACATGTATACACTACTTGTATTCTGACCAGTATTCCGATACTACATCATGAAATTGGTGTTTAAACAGAGAGACACAGTTCTTTCAATGATTTTGCAGAGCAAAACACTCAAAATCAGGAATTTACCACAGAGAACTTAGTCTGCCACAGAGAATAAATCATTATTTGGCTCTCTGACACGCAGCGATCCTTGACACTAGACCTTTTTTATAACTTTAGCTGCTTGCTCCTCATACCCTTGAGTTCGTTACAACTTCAGAAATATGGCCATTAAACTTAAGACAACTTATTTTCTTCTTCTTTCTCTAAGCTATGAAATGCAGAATTTAGCTGGCAGGGCTTAAGCTTTATCTCCAGCTCTTTGCCAGCTTTCCCTCATGCACTTCAAAGACTCTAGGTGGTTAGTGGTGAGGCCAGCCTGTGTGTATGTATAAACAGGGAGAGTTCACAGAATAATAGCTCCTTCTTTCTGTGCAGTGGCCAAATCAAAAGTCAAGAGGAGAAAAACTGGCTTCAGTTAAACTGAAACAGGCTTTTCTGAAGGGAAGATTAAGTAAAGCTTAAAAAGAGATTTTGCCCAGGGTCAGCTCAAAACATTTTGTTTGCCCTCAAGTGAAACATACTGTTTCTTAGAACATTTTGGCATTTGTGAATGGGAAACGTGCTGATATTTTCCATAAATGTTCCTGCCACTTTGGTCAGTTGAATCACTTAGGAAAATTCTACCCAAATAATGAACAGTTCATTATCCCCTTATGCCACTTTTTCAGAAAATTTCCAACCTCCTGAGAAACAACCTGCCCAACTATGTACCCAGGGTGCTTGAAGCTGCTTTGGTCTTCCTTTCTTGAAACGTTTGTGGTAAAAATTTAAGCTACGTTTGTGCATACAAAATATACCATATATTTGCTTAGACAAATGCAGCTCAGGTAAGCTGACAAATATAGTCCTTAGATGAAAATCTAGAAGCATAAGGAAGAATTGAGCAGCAGAAGGAGAAAGACATCACATTTCCTCAGAGTGTGCATGCACAGACACATTAGGAGAAAGCAGCTGATGTCTGATGTGGAAGGGAAAAATTACTCAGACTGCCAAAACAGAACTCAGTCTAAGCACTCTTTAGGAAGGGGGGTCTTAGGCCATGCTACAGCAGGCAGGGAGTAAATGAACTCGAAAGCAGATCTCTCTGTTGGGAAAATGGATCCTGAGGACAAAGATTAAGAGATATAGCAGGGGATCTAAAGAATCACTTTAGGAAACCTCACTTTAAGATTAGTGAGGCTTTCAGGAGGAGAACACTAGCTCTCAAATAACCTCCCAGATAATTTCTACTTCAAGACATGTTGACAAAAAGGCACATACCCAAAGTCCATATTTAGGCCTAAAAGATGCCTCATGTTTTTCTAGAAACTCTTAAAAAGTCCTCTTCCTATTCAAGTCAATCAAGCTGTGTCCTTGCAAACCCTACACACAGACAGTATCTGAATTCGTCCAGATTTTCCAAACTCAGATGTGTGTTCTTGGTATCACTGGTTTTTGGACTTTATCATCTAAACCTGAGCCCATAAAAAATGAGAGATTCTTTCCTGAAAGATTCCAGTCCAACAGTAAAAGAAACCAGCCAAAGGAAGGAGAATATGATTTGCCATATTCCTATTTAAAAAATGAAGAGAGGGATCAAGCCAATCTGTCTGTGGCAATGCAGGGTGTTCGTGGTAACAGGCCAGCTGAGACTCCTGAGTTTCAGATACGTACCAGCCTTTGCTCAGAATATTATGCTGTGGTTGTCTTCATTGCGAGGATGAGTCTATTTTAATAGGAGGTCTGGACTAAAACATGGTATTGGGGCCTACTGGGTGGATTCCATGAATAGGAAATCTTAATTAAGTGGGGGAGAGTATTTAATAACTTTGGAGTAGGAGGTAGGACTAATATCCTTCTCTTTCAGCTAGCTATATGTCACCCACTCACAAGAGTCAAGGAGAGGAACAGAAACTCCTGTTTTAAACAGAAGCAGTAAATCAGACCAAAAAAAAAGAGGTTTGCTGTAGAGCTTAAGACAGTTGCCAACATACACCAAAGTCCCAGTGTTAATTCGTGTTGGTTTTAATGTACAAAAAGTTTGTTCTTTTTTAAGCAACATAGGACTCTAAATATTTAAAAAGTCATCTTAATGGGTGCACAACCCATAAAAACAAATAAAGAAAGGGATCAGAGCCAGCAGATTTTTGTGGAGGGACAGTTAGTTAGCTCTAGAGAATGAGCTACGTGCCATGGAAATTGATTTGCCATCCTTTTCAAACTGACATAATTTCACAGTCTAGCACAGAACAAGTATTTACAAGCAAACAAACTATGAAGTGTCAGACTGTCCAGCTAGGTGTGTTACCAGTAGTTCAGATTTCTGCTCTTGTCTAACAGAGGGAGAGAAGACGAGGTGAAGCTTGAGTTAGTTATCTCATGGTTACGGCCTAACTAGAAGGTGTATGGAGTACTGTGTTTTATTCCTGAGATTTTATACATTTTTTGTCCATTTTCTACTTAATAGTCTACTTAAAGCAGAAAGACTTTTATCTTTTGGACTTTTATAAGTCTACTTATTCTGGGCCCAGGAAAACACCAGGGCACAATATTCCTCCATGACTTCCCTTGCCACCAGCAACTGCTGAGGAAAGCTGCTTGGACTCATTCTCCCTAGAACCAGGAAATTCTCGTGCTTGTCCATGTGGGTGGTGAACTGAGTCAGTGAGAAAGCATGACCCTCACAACCTGTGGAGTCCACAATTAGTTGGTTAAGTTTTTCACAGGGCAAAAAATACAGCCTTTACAGTGTAGAACTGCAGCCTGCTCAACTTGGGCGTAGGTTTGAAGCAACTAAGATCTGTCAAAGAACAAGATTCAGGAGGCATTTGAGCCCTCTGAGCCCCTGTTCATTGACAGCTTCTTGTCTGGAGAGCGCTGTGTTCCAGACTCTATACTCTTCAGGACAGAAACTCTTACTTTGTCCATAAAACAGGTCTAGAACAAGAGTATGGGATGCTGACTGGGTTTGATAGGTTTATGGAAATACAAGCAGAAACAAAAGCATTCTGCAAGTTTGAAAGGACGAAAATACTGAATAGAGATGTAACAAATGAAAGAAAACAAGTATTTTAATCAACTACAAAAAAAGATTTAAGATAGAGGACAAAATTTTGGCTTATCCATCAGATTAAGGTGACTTGGAAGAGAGCATATCTGCCAGTGCCTGGCATTCAGAAAGTCATGCTTGTCCAAGATGGACAAGAAGCTTGTCCATGGTAAGGATGATACTGTAATCATAAATATTTAATCTTTGTCAGGATTTACTCTGAGCTATTCAAACACAGCATGCAAAAATTAGCATTGTTTAACTGCTTTCTCTGTTTTGGTACATCTTCTGGGGTTTTAGGTTGGAATCCATAGCCTCTGCACACTTACCATTAAATCCAGACATCGCTGAAGTGGTTTCCTTGTGACTATTTTTGGGATGATACAAGAGTGTTTCAGGGATCTGAATTCAGAAGTCCAGCACACTGATGTGATGTACTTTACATCTTTGGTAACCGAGTGAAACTGATTATAGTGAAAATGGCACAAAGTGCAGAGAGGGAACAGTCCCTGAGCAAACACCTAGTGACTGCCAGAGATAGATGCTGCTTCTCAGTTTCTACAGGGAGTTGCTGAATAGAACGATCCTGTTCTGAGGAAGGAGAGACAGACACAACTGCCCAGCAAAAATCGACATAGAGAACACTGCCAGTAACTGTTTTAAAGGTGGATGTTTTCACAGCTTTTAAGTAAGATAATCAATGATCTACTATATCCTTTCAGCACAATCCACTGGATTCCCACATCAGTTTGAATTGTTCATGCAAAAACCAACAGCAGATTTTTTTATCTGTCTGATCCTTATTCAAAACAGTCTACTGGGCTCACCAACTGCTCTTTGCTCTCCTTATTACAAATGTCTGACGTGTACTTGATTTTCAGTGTGGTTAGTCCTCTGCTGTAGGCCACGGATGCTGCTGTCTGTGATCCACTAGGGAAAATGTCCTAAGGCTTCACTACAGAGAGTTCCTTAACTGGTGGGACATTGAGGCCCACACTCCACTGCCCGCCCTTTGGGTAGCAGATAGAATGTTCTGTGCAGTCACACACTCCTTTAATTCTCTAGGTACTTTCAGAACATAAATGCAATTACAGATGGTTCAGAATTCTCTTTCCTAATGAAAAAATTTCATTAAAACCAATCATTGATCCAAATGTAAGAAAATTACAAGTCCTATCTTTGACAAAAGATGGGTTAATACGAGAGCTAACCTTCAGCTGAATCATTAAATTGGAACTGTTTTTATAAAGTTAAAATACCAAAGAAAACAACACATCTATTTTCAGAGGTGCCAAGAAGGAACACTCCTACTTAAGTCTTTTGCTTAAAGACTCTACTTAAGTAGACTATCCTCACAGTTTTGTTACATTTGAGATAAAAATATTTTTACCCATATATTTTATAAATTATGAAGAAGGCTTGTGGCATTCAATCCATTAATACCAGGCATTAAAATAACTCCTTTGTTCCTTTTTATTTAATAAACTTAGGAGGAAGATTACTTGGTAATTGGGAGTTTTCCCAAATGGCGTATGTGCTATCTGGACCTAGAAAATTACATTTTCTTTTCTGCCTTTGCGATGTACCCTCAAAATACTGCAGCAGAAGAGCTGACCGACAATAGAAAAAGGTTTCCTCAAACGTGTGCTGTGTCTGTGCACGCCCAGCCCTGTGTTAGGGGTGTAGGGGCCTGACTGCCAGCCCAGGAGACCCACTGTGTGTGCACAAGCTGTGTGCACGCTGCGTTTCAACACCAGCTGGGCTCAAAGTGTCATTCTGGCCCCTCCAGCAATCCCCGATGTCTCTAGTGGGATTTGCCTTGATCTGAAGGTACCATAAAAAAAACATTGAGGTGCTGGAGCGGGTCCAGAGAAGGGCGACAAAGATGGTGAGGGGTCTGGAGAATAAGTCTTATGAGGAGAGGCTGAGGGAGCTGGGGTTATTCAGCCTGGAGAAGAGGAGGCTGAGGGGAGACCTTATTGCTCTCTACAACTACCTGAAAGGAGGGTGTAGAGAGATGGGGGTCGGTCTCTTTTCTCAAGTCACAGGCGACAGGACAAGAGGAAATGGCCTCAAGTTGCGCCAGGGTAGGTTCAGGCTGGATATTAGGAAAAATTTTTTCACTGAAAGGGTTATCAGACATTGGAATGGGCTTCCCAGGGAGGTGGTTGAGACACCATCCCTGGAGGTGTTCAAAAGACGGGTTGATGTAGTGCTGGGAGGTATGGTTTAGTGATGATGCTCCTTGTTTGTTGGGTGGGTGTCTATTTTTGTCAGTTAGGTTGACGGTTGGACAAGATGATCTTTAAGGTCCCTTCCAACCTAGAAGATTCTGTGATTCTGTATGTCCACACGCCCCTGAGCAGCAAAGATGACTGGCAAGTTAATGCTGAACTGTGGACTCAGAAGTCTACATGACAGCTTGAACACAACCATTGCTTAAGCTGCCAGAATTATAGGATAAATTATCTGTAATCCAGACTTTCAGGTGACCCACTCCCCATCGAGCCTATAAGGGCTTTTCTGAGTCATCTGCGTTGTCTCTGCAGCTTGGGAAGGAGCCTGAGAGGGGAAGGCTCTGCCTCTTAATGAGATAATGGTCATGATCAACCATAAATACACGTACTTAATGAGCAGCATCTAGGCTTCTTCTTTCTTCACTTCTCGTTTCACCCCCTTCCCAAGGTGCTGATGAACCAGGCAGGCAGAGACTTTGCATATCATTATTGTTCTGCCTGCTTTATTCTCTACTTATGTTCCTTGTGTGAGCAGGAGCTGTTTGTAATTCTGAGGGGACCTTACTTCAGAGCCTGAGCGAGCTCTGCACCAGGGGTATCCCCCAGTATAACTGACAAGTTCCCTTTTAAGTGACCCTTCCAGGGACCGGCTTGCCAGACCCCCAGGTGTACAGTGCGGTGGGTGCCCTCTCTGCCTTTCCTGTATTTTTATTCTCACTTTCACAGCCATGCCCAGGAGTACATCCCCTTCCCACCGCCTCCACCGCACACTGGTTCTTCTCTGCTCTCCCTGCGGTTTCCTCCTGTCCAATACCTTGGGGAGAGATGCTGGGACCCCCCACCCACGCTGCGGGGTTTCCTCTTCTGGTGGCAGAGAGGTGACAGTCGCCCATGGGCATGCTGAAGAGGGCAACCCCTTCCCACTGCCGGCATCTTTGAACAGGCCCCAGTTTGTGTGCTGCTCAGCCCAGCACGCCTTTTAATGTAAAGCACTGTCGTTACCCCTGATAGCGGTAATTGCAATTAGCACCACCACTGACGGCGCTCCCTAGCCACAAGCCGTGACAGTCCGGCTGTCCCTTGTCGGGCAGCCCCCTCCAAGCCCCGTTTGGGGGCTCCGTGCCCGCCGGTCCCGCCGCCCCCGGGGCTCAGGCTGGCGGGAGCGGCTCCCGGCCGGTAGCCGAGCGCGGGGCTGGCCCCGCCGCCCCTCTCCCCCCCACACCGGCCGGTCCCGGTCCCGGGGTTGGCCTCACCTCTCTCGGGCAGGTGGCTGAGCACCAGCTCCTTGGCGGCCAGCACGTCGCGGTCGCGGGTGACATCCAGCCGCAGGACGCGCAGGCGGCCGGAGCCCGCCGCCGCCTCCTCCCGCTGCAGCCGCCGGGCCCCGTCGCCGCCGGGGCAGAGGCAGCCGGCGAAGACGGTGAAGCCCAGGCGGTGGAGGCGGAGGGCCAGCAGGTGCCCGAAGCCGCTGTCGCAGCCGGTGATGAGCACGGCCCGCCCGGCCGGCTCCAGCGCCGCCGCCCCGCGCCGCCACAGCCGGGACAGCAGCAGGAGGAGGAGGAGGATGAGGAGGAGGGGGACCGCGGGACACATGCCGCCCGCTCCGCCGCCGCGCCGAGTGGGAGGGAGGGAGGGAGGGAGGCCGCGGGGATCTCCCTGCCCGCCCCGCCATCCCCTCCCTCGGGCAGGCACCGCCCTCACCCCGCTGGTCCCCGGGTCCCCCCCGCGGGAGGGGAGTGGGGCTGACACCCCGGTGAAGGCCCAGGTCTGTAGGGGTCTCTCCCCACCGGGGATGGGGGGGGGCTGTCAGCTGGGTCTGTGCCGCCAAAGGGGGGTGCGTTGTGCTGAAAGGCAGTGCTGGAGTGGCGGCGGGCAGCTCAACCTCCCTGCCCAACTGGGTTCTGTGCGGGCCGGCCGGGACAGCCTGGCCAAAGGGTGTCAAATGAAGGCAGCGGGAGTATTTGTAGGTCCGTGAGATGGGGATTTCTAATGCAGCTACATTATTGTGTTCTAGTTGTTATATGTTATGTTACAGTGTTAAATTGATGTGGGTTTTTTATGGCCCAGGTCTCTGTCTGCTATGTCATACCACGGGTGCCTCTAGACACTCCATGGTGGAGGAAAATGTCTGTTTCTTATAGGTTAAAATGACAGTTACACATCGCTGAACAAAGATCCCCGAGAGCTAAGATTACAGGAGAAATTTGATTAGGCAGTGTTTTCTCTGCCCATTCTTTCATCTGAGAAACTCTCCGAGCAGCGATTGGAATGGATAGTATGTCATATCTACCTCCTCTGAGTAAAATGAAATGGTTGAAAGAACCAGATGCCTTTATTAATTGTGATTTAAAGTTGGCTTGTGAAAAATATAAAGGGGCCAAAGTCATTCACTGACATACACAGAGCAGCAGAGGAAGCAGCAGGACTTAACGGGCACAGGGATGGTCCTAAATATTTGCCTGATTTGCATCACTGTAGCTCCACAGTCCACCTTGTTCACTTTTAGTTGTTTATCTTAAATACCTGCTGTAACTAGTTGTGGCACTGGTGGTGCCATGCTGTCTCCAGAAATGGCACTGCTCCCTGCAATCAGCTATGTTTCATGTTTGCGTGGGGATCCCTTTGCACTGACATAAGTGTTTTGAATGCCATTCTAAGGTGAAAGGGAATTATTATTGTTTAAATCTCTTTTCCATGTGCCGAGGCATTTGTGTGTCTTTATTCTTGTCGGCTGCCATCTGTCTAGATTTACTTTAGTTTTAAATTGTTCAGTGCTCTCTCTTCTGCAATGCTCAGGTCTCCTGTAGGCATGTCACAATAGGACTTTAAGCCTCAAATGGCTTGGAAAAGGAGGTTATGCTTTGCTGCTGGGAGACAAATTAGGAAGTGGAATGGTTAAACCTAAAGAAGATATACAGATACCTGTCCTCACTTGGATTTATTTGATCATGCTCCATCATACTGGGAGATGCTGCCCTTTTTTAGCCTTCAAAAGATCACTCAGTCTTCTGCAACAGTATGAGTCACAAAGCTTTGTCTTTACATTTAAAAAATATTATGCAACCCTCAAAATCATGAGAGTTGATAACAGCCTGTCCTCCAGCCAGCTTCCCTGTCTGGTTCCCTCCAGCATAAAAAGATGGGGAGGGATTCCAGATTCACCTCCTCCGTGCCTCCTACCCACCCCTCCTCTGCGTCTGCCAGCCTCTACTCTCAGCTTTCGTGTCCCGTTAATAACACAAAGATCGCAGGCATTGGCAAGACCATTCTCCTGAAGAATAGTTGGTCACCCAACTAACCTCTGAATCTTCTGCTGTCTCTATTCCAAATAAACTTCAAAAGATATTAAAAATATGGCACACAAATGTGACACACTCCTGTCTGAGAACAGGCGCAGTATGTTGTCAGAGCAACAGAGTAATTTAGTGTGAGAGTTATGGATTAGGACTGGATCCTTCATAGTTAGAAACAACTTCATGAGTACCTAGTCCAGCAAATGAGGCCACTCAGGTCTATAGTGCAGACTATGTGCAGTAGAATTTATTTGTTGCAATGATTTTCCTCTGCATTTATGATATTCTGTTCCGAATTCAAATACCTACATATATTTGTACACACACATACACATGCATATGTGTTAATATTCATATTGAATTTATTACTGTCTGCTTTGTCTGGCTTCTGAAATCCCTTTTTAATTTTTAGAACTCATTGCAAATAAAAACTCTAAATTTTTTATCTCTATCATAATGTGTTCTACCACATGTGTAATTCAAGTCAGTTGTGGTTTTCCAGTAGCAAGTTTAAGCAAAGGTCTGGATTTTACGAAAGGAGGTGAGGAGGCCGGTACTGATGAGGATCTGAACAAGTCTGCACCTGGAACATGCCCAGAGATCTTCCACTCTTCCTCAGAGCCTTTCTGGAAACAGCAATCTGTGAAGCTTATGCTTAAAGCTTTCCTCTAGGTCACCCAGTAAGTTTCACACTGTGAAATAACAAGTTGCTACAGTTAAAAACCAAAGAACAAGCTTTCCAGAGGCATCACAATCTCTTCTTAGGTCATTAGATAAGCAGATATTCAAAAGTGCTGCATCCCAGATCTTACTAACTCTGTTAGTTATTGCTCCAAAGCAAATTAGATGGAAAAAAATGAAGCTGTGACCTTTCTGTTGAGCAGGGAAGTGTTGCCACATTGTCCCTACCCTCAAAACAGGGTGCGTTTCTAAAGGGCTGTCAGTTTATTCTCGGGTGCTGGCTGGAAAGGACCATGATAATGGAAAGCTAGGATGGGCTGTGCTCCTCTCGTGTGCCCCAGGACTTCCAGGCTGACTTAAGAGGAGAAAGATCTGCTTTTTACCTAGTCCCTGAGCAGAGGGTCAGTGGCTGTGGGGAGCAGAGCTTGCTACGGGATATTTAAATAATATGCACATATCTTTGTCCAGCATAGCTCCAGTAAGAATCAAAATACAAGGGAAAAGAGGGCAACGTAGCTTTTCTCTGCCCTTAATCTCCCTCTTATCTTTTTGCCTCTTCTCAAGTCTACTCACCCCTGTTTATTTTACTCATTCTCTTGTTCCTGTTCCCTCAGCCCCTCATACCTATATCCCTCCTGATGGTCTTATTGCAGATTGGAGCTGTCTCAAAATTTGCCATCTGTCATGCTCAGTGGTACCTGCTCTCAGTAGTGGGTAGGAGGAGTAATGATGTCTTCCTTGCAGCCTCAACTCTCCAGTGCCCTGTGGAAGTCCTTATTACTTTTATTTTCTGAAGCAAAGATGAAACTCTTGTATTTTCAAGTAACCATCCTCGGCTTCACAGGAGTCACTTTTGGTGCAAAGTGTCTCTTTGTCAAAGCTTCAGAAAAATGCTGGAAGTGTGACAGAGTGCCTCCTTTTTAGGCTCCAAATAACCAAGCAAACCCAGGAAACAATAAACACAGAACCCTCTTAAGCTTTTGAAGTCAGGTTGATGATTTCCAGGGTGCGGGACCAGGATTTCTGACCCGTAGGAGCTGGCTGTGTTAAGATGCACTTCACCAACAATGCGACTCTTCTCTTTGCCATCCATTGTGTCTTGTCAACTCAGAGCCCAGACTCCTCAGCTTGCCTCTTGCTATCATACAGCGAATAGCATAGCACGCTGCTGACCTTAGCTGGGATTTTTTGATACTGGTACAAAAATGAGGCTTATCTAACAGAAAGAAACATGAAACTCATCTTGACCAGCCCATCTGGATAGCAGCTTAGCAAAATTCATTCCTACCTTCTAATGCTAACGCGCAAATGAAACTGCTTCCTGCACCTATCCAAAAAGTTGAAATTGAATCTGCTTCTGCGGGCAAGCGTTTCAGGACTGGGAAAAATAGCTTTCCAGGAAGAAAATTAAAATAATGTATTTTGGGTGCAGTTAGACAGCCAAAGACATTCTGAACAGAAATGCTTGCAGTTTTTAGAGCTGGCAAGCTGCGCATCCTAGTTCAAGACTGAGCCAGTGAATGCTCTGCTGTGGTGTCAGAGGAAGGGAGCCAGTTGAAGGCTGTCATTGCATGTAATTAGATCGGAGCAGTTGCATGTGGGCTGTGCATGGGGAATATCAAGTCTTTGAAGACTAAGCAGGGTGTCTGGTTCTGTATAATGTGATGAGCTGTATTAAAATCTTATTGCATATTTTTAAAAACCTTGGACTCAGTTGACAAAACAGATTTAGGATGCCACGTGTATTGTGTGTCATAAAAGGAAGATGGCTTCCTTTTGAAGGGCAAGGCAGGAATATCTCTACCCATGAAATATTTTCAAATACCTGTCACTGCGTACAATGTCCAGTCTATTAGAGAGATGAAGTCTTCCATTTGTCAGAAGTTATTTTATTAAGTCCCTAGGATTAAGTCCTTTCTGCCAGTACTGGAGTAGTAGCAAACAGAGAAAGAGAGATTCTGGGAGGGAAATTCTCTTAGAAGCAGGAAAATCTGCCTTCTTCTTTAACCTGAAGTGACTGATCCTCTTTAAACTGGAAAACCCCTGGCTCAGGGATAAATACATCATGGTTTGGCTGGTGTATCCTTGTGCATGGACAGTGTGGAAGGTGAAAAGATACCCTATACCTTCCAATTAATACTTTCCAGAAACAAACAAAAAAATGAACGCTGCTTTGTCTCATTTCTAACTTGCAAGACAAATGTTGGATGATTCTGACTTGAAAGTGCTACCGCAAAATGACTCAAAAGGCAGTCAAATGCTTAGAGTGCTTCTCCACACAGACTAATACCCATTTCTAGTATGGAAGGATTACCACAGCGTGACAAACTGAGAGCTCAAGTGGAGGTGGAGGATAAGGCTGAGGGGAGATCGAGTTTTCTTCTCTTCCTGGTGACCAGAGGTAGAAAGTGCTGAAATCAAAGTGGTTTCCTCCAGCATGTATTTTCACCATAGCCACGCAGTGCAGACATAGTTAGATTCATCAGGTAAACTGTTTTGAACCTGAGGGTTACTGAAAAAGAGGCATAACGTTATGAGATTAGGGTTCATCTCCGGTTAAAAGTTAATTCAGTTTGAGAAAGAGCATGTGTTTGAACACAGTGTCTCTTCCTGAGCAGCTCCATATGATGAAAAGCC